TTTCACCAGAAATTGGTGAAGAAAACATCTAAAGATCTTTTTAGACATTAACGTCCAGTTCAGAGTATTTCAATATATATATGTAGAATAAAATAAAGAAATGAATTGGAATATGTTCGCTGTATAACAGTGATAAACCTTTGAGTGTACAGAATTTTACGTAATGTGGAGAATATTGCCATATTTCTGTCTTGTACAGACTTACACTAATATAACATTCCAGTTCTATTCCGATAGCAAGATTTAAGGCATTGTTCTGATGGCCTATTTACGCATTTGTTTTTAGAAGATGTTTAAACGCTCTTTAAGACAAAACATATCAGATTATTTTAAAAACGAGGTAATTTACCAGACTTTATAGTATACACTTCTATTTCAGCTTTTAAGTAAAACTGTTATGAGATTTTAATAAAGTTAGATTACCGTTTAAGCAAGCTACATACATAATATTAACAGTTTGATTTATATCAAGTAATTCTGTACAAAATCAACGGACGTTTGGCAGTCGTATATGTTATTATATGAAACTTTCATACAGGACCTTAGAATTAAAAAAGCAAAATGTACTGAAATTATTCTCGCATTCTAAACCAGGACAAATGGTTTTTATTATTCTTTTACAGCTATGGCTTCATCTTAAGTCAATTACCGCTATAGAATTTTGACAAGGAATGAAGAAAATATAGACTTCTTGCAACTGCGAATAGTTAGTTATACAAGGTATTATAGACTATGGTTATTATTATTACTATATTCAGTTATAGACTGGTATGCAAAAACTATGGTATTTCTGGACACCATAAATGATAAAAGTTTCCTACTCTAGTCAATGCAGCGTCGCTATTACATTTTAAAGAAAAAACAAAGGAAATAAACATTAATATAAACACAAGCAATGAACCTGGTTCATCAAATGAATCAAAACTAATTCAAGTCCGTATATTTCAGAAATAAAAGCAATAAATTTAAATAAGGTAATATATCAGGATAACAATCTACTATAGTGCAAACCAAAAAGGAAATACAAAGTATCAGAAGGATTATATATATATATGTAGTTTTAGAAGAATAGTTTATGCTATACGGGATCTAACTTTAGAAACGCACACCATGGTGTTCAGTTGTTTCATTTTTGTTGAAATCATGGCCTATTTGTCATCATCATACTGGGATCTGATCATACATCACGAAAAAAGTGTCCATACTGTTTTCCCTTTACTGTTTGGAAACTGAAAATCAAAAATATATGCTGGTACTGTAGGCAACCGAATTTCTTCTGTATATGATAAGAAATGTATTGTCTCCACTGCATGATGACGCAGGTGTTTTTTCCACCTGGCCAACCGTTCGTGTATTGACGTATTTCCACAGAATGTTTTCTTAAGCTGATGTTATACATCTGTCAGTTGTATGATGTACGTTTTTTGTGTAGTATAAAACACAAAACACCATAGAAAGGGACATAGTTAACGACAGTCGATACGATTATTGATTTATTAATAACTGCCCCAGATACATACATTAAATAACGTGCACTTTTATATATATATATATATAATAATAATAATAATTTGACAAGCCAGATTTCGCTTCTTGTGAACATTATATTTCATGCAACATATTTTTATTCATTCTCTCAACTTTTAAAATAACTTAATATTGCTTGCTCTTTCAAATATCGGTTACATAGCTTTCACTACACTTCAGCTCTGCTTCTTTTCATCTTCTACATTGATGTGTTGTGCATTAAAATATTCCATATATATGTGTGTGTGTGTGTATACCCTTATTAAGGTTATCTTGTATTGTAGACTAGTATATAGGCTTAGGACCAATTTAAGTCTCCTAATCTAGCCAAGTCTTATGAGACATTACTGGTATTGCGACCGAAACTGCCTCCAAGTGGCTCAGCAACAGGTCTGAAGGTTATTAATGCTAAATGTGGGGTTTCAATACCCACGGTGGGCAGAGCACAGATATCCGTTTGTGTAGCTTTGCGCTTAACAACGAGCAACCAATCAAATGACCGAAATATATATATATAACTCCGAAGATACCCAACTGATAAGTCAGTGCATTCGAATCAAAAGTTTTTGTTTTCACGTTAATTGTTGCATGATATTGTAGAGAAATTGAATACGTTATTATATTAAAACGAGTTTGGAGCCTCATAAGGTTGTCATGTCCGAAGTATACCACTCTCTCATACTGCTTTCCAGAACTACGGTTTCCGAGCACTCTGCTTCAACAGTCCGAACGCACAGAAGTCCATAGGCGCTGCTTCCGACGAGTCGATCGGTATTTCTTTATATGCAACAGCACGAACACCCGTTTCATTCTTCTGGAAGTATGCGACGGTTGAATGGATATATCGTGGAAGCAGCTTGGGTAAACGTGGTTTGTGTCGCTTTTCCAGGCGGAGATTCTTCTTGATTATGTTATGTACGGTGGACGGTTTTGACACTGCTTTAGTGTTTGTGGATTCTCGGCTGATATAAGATACTGCACTGTGCTTACCACGACACTTTACTACAGGTTACTTTCTAGATGGTCCTGGTGCCCCAAATAATCCATATTCGTTTGTTCTCCAATGTCATTAAGCACAAGGGTTATTCACTTCTAGGAAATAATAAATACCCGATCTGAACACGTCTTTATGAACTGAATGTATGCATATTTTGTGTTGGAAAGAACTGTTACATACCCCTCCAAAAAGTGATCACTTTTATGTGATAATACACTACCTACGAATGCCAAGCAATGTTAAAATATAATTCTGATACATCCCGTTCCGCCGCGAATTAATTTAGCTGTGTTTGTCACGTGATTTGTTGATCAGCTTAGCCAAAATCGTTGTAATATAACGTACCGAGTCTTCTGTACTCCTAGTCAGTATGTTATATAAACTTAGCTACAATCTACAATATTTAAGTATTTTTTAGCTCTGGTCAATGTAATTACTTTGATCAGAATTTATTTCTAATAATAGTATTATGGTTAAGATTAGTTTCTTATTTACAATGTAATATTTTATGATGATATCCTTTATAGGCAAGGTATGAGAAAAGTAATGTGGTTTACTTATTCTTTTAAATTAGTATCTGGTACTGAATATAGTCCACAAACTATTGACACATTGAAATATATTGTGTTGGCTGAAACTTACTTTCTCTGTCCTTTTAATGCTGACATTTAATGCATAACATATATAATCATAGAACATATTTGTCGTCATGTTTTCCATTCCCTCTAACATATTTGAAGGGTAGAAATCGCTCAAGTTATTTATATAGTTTGAAGTTTAATAAAAATAATAAAGCATGTGGGTATGTGTGCAATCTATACATTTGAATGTGGGTAGTAAACAGGTAGTATGGAGACTTCTTCAGTTCTAAGCAAAATCGTGTATATATATACATGAAACAGGATCAATTTCTTCGTTAACTGTTTTTTCCAGCTTTTAAATCCAGATCCCAAACTTCATTATCCCAGCTTTGCAAAATATTCTACACCTTTGTTTTTACCAAAATATCTTTACTTCAGTACCATGTTGGCTTTTTATTCTTTTACTCGTGTGTTACGAACAAGACACAACTTTCTTCTATTTCTAAAACGTTACTTCTTTGCTCGCTTATCTGATTTGTTTTTATCAGGGCAGTGTTCACTTGTTCCTGACTATTTTTCTATACACAGATACTTTACCACCTTGCTCAGTATTTCCAACGAAAGAGATTATATAAATCTTCTGATTTGTTTCCAGGAAGTCAATAGTCACTTGTCCCTATTCGCATCTCAAACTCTGAATTCTACTTCTTTATTCTGTCTCCAATACAGAATTTTTTACTTCACAATCTGCGTTTCTAACACCGAATCAGCTTCATCATGAAAATCCTTATTTCCTGCTTTGTATCCACAACATATAATTTTATATTTCACCACCTTTGCTTTGTATCAAGAAGACTGAGCATTTACTCCCTTACCAGTTTCTGTTACGTATCTTCAATGATTCTTTAAGATAAGATTATTTTGTACTAACCCAAATCATTTGGCAATATTGTTTTTACTTGATATAATCAGGAATATCTGTAGTAGGATGCTAAACAATATTGACATAAATATGTTATGTAGCGAAATCACATTTGATAAATGTTTTTGCTGTTAAATAAGTAGAGTATATACTTATGTTCTTTTTATGTATGTTTTTTATTGCAAATATTCATAATGGGCGTGTCCACGTTAGGGGTCGAACGCCAAGTTCTAACGATATAAGCTCTTAAACTTGCCACTGTGCTTAGAAATGCATATATAGTATTATATATGCACTATATGAAATCTTTATATAAAGGTGCAGTAGGACGATGGTCATAAGGAGAAATATAATTTAAATAAAAAGGAACGCTAATTAAAGGAAGAAATATAAAACCAAACGTAATGAAAAAAAAGAAGATAGGAGACTAAAAGAACCAAGAAGTAGAAAGCTAAAGAATAAAAAAAAAGATATATTTGCTCGCAGGAAACCGTAAAATAAATCACAAGGTCAGGAGGCAGCAGAGCAGAGAGTGAAATCAAACAGACATAACTGGTATATGATATATAATTGAAGGGAAGATGAAATAACTTGCAGATGGAGAAAGGGAAGCCAGAAGAGTAAACATGAATTTAAAGACAAAAACAAGGCATAAGAGAGACAAAATAAACATAAATGGATAAATACTTTTAAACGAGATAAAAAAGTGATTTGAAAGAAGCTAAGCATTGTTTGTGAACCTGATTTTAATTAATATAAACAGGGTTATTCTTTTAACGTGACACTAAAAATTAAATTAAAAAATTAGAACACACTGATAAGCTATTAAATTCAATTTGAACAGTTGTTACTCATAAAATAGTTTGTCATATAAAAAAAGGGCAACACTGTTCAACTTATAGTGCTGAAGAATAATATTTAATGTAAATTACTGTGGTGTTTCTCTAACATCTTATTTTGTTCTGTTTTTTAGACTTTTGCTAAAGACGGCAAAACAGATCAACCAGAGAGCCATTCAACAGTAAGTTATTCCGTGGCAGAAGAAAGCGTTTTATTTCCAAACGATGGACTAAATAAAACCATGCTGACTTCTTCGTCCATTTGCGAGATTCAAAAGAGATTTAGTAACAATCCAAATTCTCCTCTCACTTGTGAACATATTGAAGACATCTTATGGATTGATGGTGATGACAACTGCTCAGATTCGGATCCTGGAGAAAATAAGGTCAACAGTGGACAACTCACAGAAACTGAAGAGTCCGCTTTTGCTGTAGACTTATCAAAAACCAGTTCTTGCTTCGCTGAGAGAAAAGTCGTTTTTCCACAAGAGTCGCTGTCACAAAATGATTTTACTGATGTTAAAAGCTGCACTTTACATCAACCTGAAAATCTACAAGCTTTAGATAACATCGAACTGGCTAAGCTCCAGTTAAGCCACTGTGATAGAGGTAAGCCTCCTATTCGGGATTTCTTAGAGGAATCACACGAGTCAGATAAACTCTCTTCCGAAATACCAGATCCAAATCCACAAAGGGAAACAACTGACATTGTTTGTTTACAAAATTCGATCGAAAGCTCAGAGAGGATGTGTGATAATGGTTATCGGAACGTCACTGATGATTATATGAAACATGTACCAGTAGATTTTATTCGTGCTAAACCCAGTTTTCCAGATGGACAACTCACCCTTTCACAGAATCAGGGGCAAAATGACGTCAAGGACGACGTAGTGAAAATTATGCCACAGAAGCCAAAGCATGATGAGAACAATTATTTTCAGAATATCTTTTGTAAAAACAATGCAGAAAGAGTGGTTAGTGTTAAACATTGCACTGGTACGAAAGGGAAGATTAAGCGAAGGGAAGCATTACGCAGCTCAGTCGACTACTCTCTAAGACCAATTAGGGTAAGTATTATTGTTTTCCTTTCATTAACATTGTGATGATTAGTGGTGTAAGATCGTTTCGAACTTTCTAGGTTAACCTGGGGGTTTTAAACTTTATAAACTCGCTGAGTTATCATAACCAAATCATTTGATAACGTATCTGCAAAAGGTGTATAGAAATATCTACTCATAGGAATTAACAAGATATTTATATATCTTTTAAGATATGAAATGAAACGATAAAAATATAGTTATTCTTATGGTCGAAAATACCTTTGCAAGAGAGCAATGTGTCGAACATATTACTTAATTACTGTGGCACCCAAAGCCTCCCGATAAAACCTATGTGGTCTCGACAAGTAGACCTGTCTTCTTCGGGAATAAAAGGCAGAAAACTCTAGGATTATATCGTTTTATATATAATTTTTTCAACTATCATGAACTTAGTTCTTACGACAAACATCTGTGGGGCCATCCTATCAATATTCAGTATCTGATGAGCCTACAGCAGCTTACACTAATCCACAGGCCGCACTAACGGCCCTTACACACCCTAAAGAGCCGAAAAATTTTCTTTACCAGTCATAAGCCAAAAATGATACATTTAATTAAAAATTTGCAATATATGAAATATGTTAAAGTTCTAATAATTTTCTCTTCTGACCATTTTAAAAGCACCATATAAAAACAATCATGGTTTACGTTTTAATTTTTTGGCATTAATGCACCTGGATATTGCCTGTTGTCATCATTTACAGATAGCATTAACTCTTACAAGTCACTTGTGTTGTAATGAGTTGTATTTTAGAATACTGAGAACCTCGGGTTGATTCGTAGTGGAGCCAAAGATTGTCCATCAATGGCTTATCCGTAATACGGCCGAAAGTTGTCCACCACTGACCTATCCGTAGTGGGGCAGAAGGTTGTCCAGCACTGGCCTATCCGCAGTGGCCTCGAATGTTGTCCGCCACTGGTCTATCCTTAATGAGGCCGAAGGTTGCCCACTACTGGGTTATCCGTAGTGAAGCCAAAGGTTGCCTATCACTGACCAATGGATTTTTATTTTAACGTTTCTATTATGTTGAACGTTTTTGATCAAGACTGCTGCAGTATCTCATAAATGGATTAAAAAATCTACAAGCTAGAGGTTACTAAAAAAGTGATTTATATACTATGGGATTTTATTTTCTTATTTTGGTTAATTTACTGAAGGTGTTTAAGATAAACCTCCCCCTTTTGTGGTTAATTTGCTGAAGTTGTTTAAGACTTACCTCGGCCGTTTATGGTCATTTTATCAAATATATGAAAGGCACACCTCCACCTCTTTGTTGTTGTTGTTTTTTTTTTGGGGGGGGGGTTTACCGAAGCTGTGTAAGGCAAACATCCGCCTATTATTTTTAATTTACTGAAGTTGTTTAAGGCACACCTCCGCCTTTTTTGGTTAATTTACTGAAGGTGTGTAAGATAAACCTCCCCCTTTTGTGGTTAATTTACCGAAGGTACGTAAAACACACCTCCGCCTTTTTGTAGTTTATTTACTGAAGCTGGTTAAAGCACAACTCTGCCTTTCGTGGCTAACTTGCCGGAGCTGTGTAAGGCACACCTCCGCCTTTTTGTTTCGAATATTTAATGCATTTAAAAGATTTGACTCATAAAACAGTTAAAACTTTATAATGGAAATACATTTGATAAGTCCTGACAATACTCAAAATGCAATGATTTAATTTATATAAAAGGGCTTATTTATATTCTTTATTGATTATTTAAAATTGTAATTGTATCATCTCAGTAATTATAGTATTATTTTTGTATTTTCTTTTTTTTTGCATAATTAAGAAAACTGGTATTTGCACCGTTTCTTTCATAGTATTTTTTAGAGTTTTTGTAGTTCAACCATCTTGTTCGCTTGAATGCTGTAAAATGGGGCTAGTTAGCTCTATTTTTTATAGGATTTTCAAACATTTCTTTTGCAGTGAATTCATAAGTTTAAAGTGGATCGTCGTTTTTAGCCTCTTCAAAGGAGTTTCTTTCTCTACTAAGCAAATAAATTCTAGCCTCATCTAGCGAGTAACCTTCACCAAGTTCTTAACTGGTTTAAAATGGAATAATAAAGACTGCCATTCTTCTTCACGAGATATTCGTGCCGCTGTCATTAGTGCATAGAGTATTGTTTTGTTTCCATGCGTTAAATATACGAAATGTCTTCATAACGTATTTATACTTAAATATATTGTAGCGAATTTAGACTAAAAATATCATTTGCAGTCCATGATAGACCATAATAAGAAGCATTATTTCAGATCGTTACCAATTTTTTGTATTGTTTTATTTTGAAGGAATTCTATGGATTTAGTTAGCCTTTGAAAATATTACTCACGAAAAGTGATAAAACTTAAGGATGTATTCGTACTTCACGAAATATTGACAATTTGAAGCTTCCTTTCGACTTTCTTAAGCCTGATGATATATTGTCAGTATGCACGCACGGGTCGTGACGAATACCCTGTCATTACCTTTTGTTTTTTTAGTGGCAATTCATCGTCCCCTCGGTATTGCTTCCATTAAATAAAACCCGTAATTTACAAGTAGGTGTCGCCTATACGAAATGCATGCCGTTTAGGTTACCATATTACGTATACTATCTTGCTTCTAATAAAAAATTGTTAAGCAACAGTAAACCAGGTTTGGGTCGGAGTGTTTTGCTTGTACGTATATTTTTTATCTATGTTTGATAATCCAGCCTTCGCATACAATATTGATGGAAGTGATACTCTGAATCGACTCCTTTGTTCATAACAAATGATATTCCTTGTTACCCAGTGCCTCAAATTTGGCATCGTGACTTGTATTGTTGTTGGTTTTTTATCACAACACATTGCACAATCGCAAGAAGCTCAGCGTGGTGAATCAACCATTCGTTGAGAAACATTCAGACCTGTGCACTGGTATTCTTCTATACCGATATTCCATAGTGTAACTAGAACCCGTTCACTGAATGCGACTGAAATTGGTTCACATTAATTTAACCCATTCAGCTTAGATGCGTTATCCATAAAAAAAATAAATTAAACATTTCTTATTGTTTGTGACATTAAATCTTTATCGTTTGTCTCTGTAACTTGAAAATATATTAAGACCCAGTGATATATATACATATAACAACTTAAGGTATTGCTTAAGAAAACGAGTCTTAATATATTAGTGCTTGTGGAATTCCACAAGTTTTACTCCAATATGAAAAATGTCCTAAACTGTAAATTCAACCCTGTAATTCGTCTTATCTAACCCGATACACTGCTGCCAGTCGCTTCCCTAAATGAATGAGATGATACAAAAAAACACGCATGCTGTTAAAGTATGCAGAAATTACGCACGTAATAAAAGCTATATTTACTGACTGGTATACAGTGTTTATACAATGACGACGTTTTAGGGTAGTTGGCCCACATTTAAGTGGGTGGAATTTAGTAAACGGGGCAATTACTGCCAGGATCGTATTTAAGTACATTCGAAGATGGGGACAAGCTATAAATTGTTAGGAAGTGTAATTATGTATGAATTAATTGTTCCTGTTTGGTTTTCGAGGTCGTACAAAGTAGAGAACCTAGAGTACGAAGTATATTGAGCGCCACCTGTACTTATTTCTCTGAACATTAACAATGATAGTCTAAATTGGAGGAATGAATTATGAGCGTTTCTTGAAGTTCAAGTAATGTTTAAAAGGGAGCAAGTGTTCTAAACGTTAAATCTAGAACGCTACCTGGAGGATAGAAAGATATTTTATATTTTATAAAATCAATTCGTATAGCTCACGTTTCGTGGCTTAATGGTTAGCGTGCTCAGACTGTGAATCCGAAAATTCGTGGTTCGTGTCACGTTATGCTTATAATAATTCAAATTAAGGATATATCACACTAGTATCATACTAAGGAGATATCACACTATGAAATCAAACTGTGACATGTCCTTAGTTTGATATTCTCAGCATATGTCCTTAGTTTGATATTCTCAGTGTGATATGTCCTTAGTTTGATATTCTCAGTGTGACATGTCCTTAGCTTAATATTCTCAGTGTGACATGTCCTTAGCTTAATATTCTCATTGTGACATGTCCTTAGTTTGATATTCTCAGTGTGATATGTCCTTAGTTTGATATTCTCAGCATATGTCTTTAGTTTGATATTCTCAGCATATGTCCTTAGTTTGATATTCTCAACGTGATTTGTCCTTAGTTTAAAATTCACAGTTTGATATGTCCTTAGTTTGATATTCATAGTGTGATATGTCCTAAGTTTAAAATTCACTGAGAATATTAAGCTAAGGACATGTCACACTGAGAATATCAAACTAAGGACATATCATATTATGAATATGAAACTAAGGACATGTCACACTGAGAATATCAAACTAAGGACATATCATGTTATGAATATGAAACTAAGGACACGTCACTTGTGTTACTCCATTGGGATGTTAATTATAAATTTTTGTAAGATGTGGTCCTTTTTTATTGCCCAAGATGGCATGCCCTAGTCTTACGTCTCGTAAATGTAAATTAAAAATATCTTGCATTACGTCTTGTACTTAGAATTTAGCTTTTTATTCTTCTTTATAGCACATAATTTTTTTATGGTATATAACGACCATATAAAGAAACGCCTATATTGATAGGTCTAAGTTTCCATACCTAAGTCTTTACCTAACTGTTTAGTGTTGAAGTAAACACTCCATTATTTAATATATTTATCGTTTCGGCCCCCTAGAAATCCAGTGTCATATTACTTCACATATATCAGTTGGGTAAACTATAAATCTGTAGCTGTAATATAAAAACTATTTTGTAACGCAATTGGTTTTCATACTTGTGTACAATGGATCACAACACTGGAGAAAGGTTTGTGCAAGGAACCAACCATGTAATATAGGAAATAAAACTTGTTCTTTTTATTATTATTAGCTTTATCCAGTGAACATCTTTTTTCACACACACTCGTAGGACTATGCTGCATCGTTCACGGCAC